TAAAAATAATTATTATTTTAGGAAAATATTTTGGGGCTAGTAAGTCTAGAAAGCTTAAAACAAGCTTTGTTTTCAAAACATCTAAATATGTATTTTCTTCTTAGATTAAGTGACAGAAATAGCTTCCTTGAAAATTTGCTTGGAGAAAAAGAACAAAAAATGTTGAGCATGACAGAAAAACTGGAACAAATTGAAAATTTGAGGAAAATGCTTCAAGAAAAGGATCTTCTGAACAAAGAGCTTGGTGAGAAGTTCATGCATACTGAGCAAAAAGTAAGTTAAAACTTATTGTTAAATAGTATTTTAAATTTATTAGAACTGGTGAGCATTAGCTGTAACTTTCTATTTGTGTCCCAGCAGCAATATTGCTGTTTTCCCTATTTAAAAGTTTTCGCTCTGTTTATGTATGGTTTTGTTCACTTCATGTATTTGCTTTGTTTTAAGTTGAGTGTAAGGATTTCTTAGACCCAACACAGAGCTTTGCATGAAAGTATTTATGTTTTAATCGGGGTGATAAGTTATCCTCGTTTATTAATTTCAAAGTATAAACTCCACTGTTGTGTAAACTCAGTATTATAACTCTAACATCACAATTTTATTATAATTTCATATATTTCTATCACATTGACTTTTGTTTTTAATGCTAAGCTGAATGAAGCCTTAAAGAAATGCAGTGTGTATGAAGTGGAGAACATTGAGCAGAAAACAGTCATCAGTGATCTAACAGAAAAAGTTGCTACTCTGAAGGAAAAGGTAACTCATTAAAATAAATTAAGAGGAGAAATTTTATGTTCTTTTGACAGGGCCTGTTTAAATGTCAGCAAAATAACAGCATTAGCTGCTTAAAATTTCATACACTAAACTTCCTCTATGCTAAAGTAACCTAAAGAATAACATGATTATCTTGCGACTATACAGTTGGGTACAAATGATTACCTTAAATACTCGTTATACATGTGAAGTGTAACTTCCATTCTCCCTCTAACATATGTTTGAAGTATTCTTGTAACGTCATTTTCTTGATTTTTTTTTTTTTTTTTTTATTTTATTAGTCTTTGAAACAAGATGGCGTGGTAGAGTCTATGCAGCTGGATCTGGAACAGACAAATGAAGAGCTTGACAAATTGAATACAAGCCATTTAGAGGAAAGATCTCAATTTATTCAAGATCTCCAGAAACGTGAAAGAGAAATTGATAATCTTAAAGAAGCACTGGCAGAAAAAGACAGGGAGATGTCTGTCCTGTCTTTGAATATGACAGAATATTCTGAACAGGTTATCATCCTAAAGCATCAAGTGCAATGCAAAGAGGAAGAAATACGAGAGATGGAAGAGGCTTTATCAAAGGCTGAAAGGGAAACTCATTTACTGAAAGAAGTACAAACAGCTGACGTAAGAGATGCAAGCGTGAAGATATCTCTTCTTTCTGAGGAGAGTAATACAATGAGACTAGAGCTAGAAAGAGTTAAAGTTGAGAGTGAAGCTAAAACCAAAGAAAATGAGGAATTAATAAGACAAAGCAGTGAGAACAGCATTACAATTAAGGATCTCCGTTCTGAAATCAAGGCCAACAGTGTCGCATACCATAACAAACTTGCGGAGTGTGAGTCACAAATTACTTTGCTGAAAGAACAAATTAGTAAGTCATCTGAAAAACTACAAGAAAACGAGGATAAACAAAGAAAAGAAACTGAATATTTGAAATCTCAGCTTGAAGAAAGCAGTACTCTAAAGGAAAAATGGAACAATTTGCTTAAAGAGAAAGAAAGTGAAGCACAGACACTTGAAAATGAGTTGAAGTCAGTTAAAGATTCTTACAACAAACTGGTTTTGGAAAATGCCAAAAAAGATGAAGAGTTGGCTGAGTTATCTAAGAAGCTTGTAGAACATACTGAACATCAGGAAACAATTAAAAAAGACTTACAAGAGAAGCAAGAGTTCATTATTTCATTGGAGCAGAAGCTTGGGCTTTTGGAGCAGCAAAATGAAGAGACTAAACTTAAATTAACTGGAGATCTGGAAGCCAAAGAGACGTGTTGCAAAGAACTTAGTAGCCAACTAAATGAAATACATAAACAAATTAACAAAATGGAAATAGAGACACAGGAGAAAGCTTCAGCTAATAAGCAATTACTGGCAGATCTTGAAGGGAAAGAAGAAAAATTGACAGAGCAAATAAAAGCAAATGAGTATTTGAGAAAAAGTATAGATGTGGTGGAAAAAGAGAAGGAACAACTTATCAGGGAAAATGAGAATTTGTCCAAACTCCTGGATGTAAAAGAGTGTGAATTGTTAAAGAAAATCCAGGCTGTGGCGGAAATAGAGAATAAGTTATCTGTTAGCACTACTGAGTACGAAAAAACTCTTTCAGTACTAAATTGTGATAAAAACACTCTGGCAAAAGAGATTGAAAAACTTTCAATACTTGCCGAGCAAAAAGAAAATTCGGTTGCAGAACAGCTGCGGGAGAAAACAAAGGAGTGTAATGTGCTAGCTGATCAGTTGTTTGAAAGCAAAGAACAGACACAACAGTTGCATGAACAAATGCAATCACTTCTCATTCAGCTGAAGGATGCTAGAGACAAAGAAATAAATAAAGAAGAAATGTTAAATAATAAGCTATCTGAATGCAGTAGCCTAATCCAAGAACTCAGCCACAATAAGGAAAAGAATTTACTACTGCAGGAACAAATTCAAAGTGTAACTTTGGATTTGGAAACCGTGAACAGGTCTCTAGAAGGGACAGTTCTTCAAAATGATTTATTACATGAGGAAGTGGAAGCGAGTAAGCTTCGTATTGTAGAGATGCAGGATGAAATTAAAAATCTTAAAGATGAAAAAACAAAGTTATCTCAGTTGATAGAAGAAAGAGACCTGACTGTAAAAAGTCAGAGTTCAGAACTTGAAAAGTTTCATAGGCAAGTTTCTGAAAAAATGGAAGAAAGTACAGTGTTAAATGATCAGCTACAGCTGCTAAGCAAAGAAGTGGATGTGCTTAGGCATGAAAAGGAGAACGTTTCAAGCTTATTGAGTGAGAAGTCACGTGAATGTGAATTTCTTCAGTCACAATTGGTACAGCAACAGTCTGAAACTTCTTCAGCAAGGCAACAAGCACATACAGCAGCTCTAGAGAATGAAAAATTGAAAACAGACATTGAAACAGTTAATGTTATGGTAATGAAAAAGTCAGATGAAGTAGCTGCTTTAACTTCACACTTGTCCCAACAAAGTCATAATATTTTAGCTCTGAAGGACCAAATTGATGGCCTGTTGATTGAAAAAGAAAACTTAAAAATTGTCTTTGAAGAAAAAGAAACTCTCCTTTCTGAAAAGAATGCTTTAATTCAGCAAATGAAAGATAGTAAAATGGCAGGAGAAGGGCAGTATATGCAAATCATTTCAGATCTGCAAAACCAAATACAAGCCCTAGGTTTTGAAATCAGCCAGGTTACACACACAATGCAGGAAAAAGACAATGAATTCAGGAGGCAAGCCCAAGAATTAAAGATATTAAAAGATAAATCTGAAGAGTCTGATGTGCTTAGGGTTCAACTGTCTGAGAATATGGAGATTATTTCTGACCTTCAATATCAGCTTAAAAATATGACAGAAAAATCATCCCAGTTGAATGATTCAATTATACAGAAAGATGAATCTTTAAAACAAAAGTTAGATGAATACATAAATTTAAAAGCACAGCTTTCTGAGGTACAGGAATCCTCTGTTTTGCGGGAGAAACAGTTAGAACTTTTAGCCTCTGACGCAGAACAATTAAAAGTACTTGTTTCAGAAAAAGAATTAGCCATCAGCAATATTTCATTATCCAGTGAGAATTTAAAGATGCAACTTAAAGAGAAAGAGGATGAATGTGAGGTCTTAAAGAAACAGGTGGTAGAGCTGGAGGATGTGAAAGTGAATTTACAAAAAGAAATACAACATCAGAAGAATGTAATAATTGAGATGGACCAGTCCCTATCAGAAAAGGAATCATCTCTTACAGAAAATAAAAGTCTGCTCAGTTCTCTGAAGGAGCAATCAAGGAAGGATGAAGAGAAGACAAATATAATTTCTCAGCTCCGAAGTCAGGTACATGAACTAACAGAAGAACTACAAAAATCTAAAGAACTAGTCCATGAGAAAGAAAATGCCTTTTTGTCTCTTCAGGAGAAAATTGAGGCACACTATAAACTAAGAACTGAGTTGAATGCAGCTCTTGGGAAAAAAGAAGAAGTTATTGCTGGACTGCTCAATTCTTTAAAGGAGAAAGATACCAATATACAGTTGGCAGATAGCAACGTTAATGTTCTTTCTAGTGAGATTGAGGTTCTCAGAGAAAAATTAGAGAGAAGTGGTACAGCCATTAAAAACCTTACTAAGGAATTTCAGGAAAAGACTGAGAAACTTGATATTAGTCAGAAGAAAATTGAGTCTTTGACTGTTGAACTTGACTCTCTTAAAAATGAACACCAAAAAGCACTAGACCAAATAAGTGCATGGGAAGAACAACTACAGCAAAAAGAATTGGCTGTGGAGTCTCTGCGTGTGAAGTGCACTGAACAGGCTGATAACATAGCATGTTTGAAGTTAGAGTTGGACAATGTAAATTCCAAATCATCTCAAGACTGCCATGACAATGCACTTTTAATAGGTAGTCTGCAGTGTCAGGTAGAGTCTTTAGAGAAAGAAAAAACTCTGTTGCAAGAAGATGCTGATAAACTGATGGCTGAAAACACAGAACTTCATGCATCTCAGAATCATTTGCAAAAGAAATTGGAAGAGCTCAGGGAAATCAATGAAAAACTGGAAACCAGTGAGAATTACTCAAGAATGCAGATAGATGCTGTCAAACTGCAGATGAAGACTGAAACAGAGAAGTTACAGATGCAGGTTAGTGTGAAGGGTGAAGAACTTTCTAAATTAGAACTTAAATTCGAAACTCTAGAACAAAGTCTACTTGAGTCAGAAAACAAATGGGTGACTAGGGCAACTTTACAAAATAATAATCTTACTGAGCAATTGAGCAATTTAGAAAGTGAAATGACATCAAAAGATAGCAAAATCCAGTCTTTGCAGCAGGAGCTGGATCTTGTAAAAGAGGAATTAACTCAAAGCTTATCTCTGTTACTTAATAGTAGGCTTGTATGTAAAGAAAAGAGGGCACAGACTTCAGATTCTGAACTGCAGCTCACTGATAGTAAAATTCAGTTGGAAAAATTTTCCACTCTGATAACCACTATTTTGAGCAAAGAAACAGAAAGAGAACAATTAGAACTGGTGCTTTTAGAAAAACAGAAAGAAATAGACATCATGAAAGATGAATTAAAAGGTTTCCAGTCACTTGAGAAGCAGAAGGAGTTGCTGCATATTGATACTGAAAAGATGAAGGACCAATACAAATCTGAAATTGAAGGTCTGACAGAAGAACTAGTCACAGTCAAAGAAACGTTATGTAAACAACAGTCTCTCTTGCAAGAAAGGGAAGAGTCTTTTGCAGATGCAAATAAGCAGATTGAATTTCTTCAAGACAAGATAAATAAATCAGAAGAAATAGGAAGAACCAGTCAAGAAAAACTGCACGTTGAAGGTAAAAAAATAGCAAATCTCCTTGAAGAAATGGGAAAAAAAGATCAAATGATAGAAAACTTAACTTCCCAGGTAAATCAGCAAAAGGATTTAATTTCTAGTCTGAGCCAGCAACTGAAAGAAAAGGACTGTTCTGTTACCCAGATCATGGAATCACTGTCTAATGAAATGTTGAATTTTTCTGCAGAGAAAAATACATTAAATACCAAACTGCAGGACCTTGAAGCTGTTCATAATAGTTCTGTAGGAAAACTAAACCGAGTATTGCAGGAACTCGAGGATTGTAAGAAGGAACTGGAACACAGTCAGGTTATGCTAAGCAGTAGAGAAGCTGTGTTTAAAGATCTAATAAGTGAAAAAGAGGAGATGCAGTTTAATCTTGAGAAAATGGGCAAGGAAAAAGAGAATCTGAAAAAGAAACTTCAAGCAGCATTGATAATAAGAAGAGATCTAATGCAAAAAGTTGGAAAACTAGAAAAGAGTGGACAGGAAGAAATAGAAAAAGAGCAAAAAAAAGCAGAGGAGTTGTTGAAGAAAGTTAATGAGTTAACAGACAAGCTGAAACTAGTTGAAGTACAAAATACAGATTTTGAGTCTCATCTTGGAACTTTGAAGCAACAACTTTTAGAAAAAGATGCCAAAATAAATGATTTGACTGAAATTTTGTCTGCAAAAGCCTCTTACTTAGAGGAACTTCAGGACAATATTACAGAACTAAATGATGTCATTGCTGAAAAACAAAATATATGTGAGCAGAACTTAAAATCTTTAGAGGAAAAGGACTGCATGCTTGCTCATATGCAATCTATGCTTGATGAAAAAGGCAGTGCGTATGAAGAGGAACGTTCTCAGCTGCTCTTAGCTCTTGAAAAGGTGAAGTCTGAAGTTAAGAAGGAAGAATTGGTGAAAAATTCCAGTTCAGGAGAGCCTGATTCCAGTGCTGGGGATAGGAAGATTTGTCTGGACCTCAACAATGACATTGATGTCATCAATCAGTTGAAAAAAGAAAAAGAAGCCTTAGAGAGGGAGCTTTTGGTCAGGAAAGAAGATATAAAGAAATTTCAGAAAGAAAGAGAAGAGCACACTAAACTTGCAGCAGATTTTGATGAACAAAAAAACCACCTTGAGAATCTCAAACAAGAACATAAAGCACTCTGGGAAGTTCTTCAAACAAAATGTAAAGAACTTAACTTTAATCAGTTAGAAAAGTACCTTCTAGCGAAAGAGTGGGATTCACCTAAAGCAATGCTGGGAGAAGCAGCAGATGATCTAAGGAATTTGGAATCAGACAAAACAAGAAGCAAGGGTGAGGTTGCATCCTTAAAAGAGTCTGAAAACATGATCACTTCAGTGGCAAGTGAAGACACTGAGTTAAAAGAAATAAGAAGTAATTATGCAAAGCTTCAGGAGGAAACAGAAATGTTAAAGAAAGAGTTGAGAAAAATATCGGTTGAATTTGGTGATGAAAGAGAAGAAATGGTCAACTTAAACTCTTTAGGACAGCGGGAGCAGCAGCAATATAAGGACAGCTTGTTGGAGGACATAAAGCAGCTACAGAAAAAGCTGAAAGCGTATGAGGCTGAAGCTATAGACAGTAAGACAGCGCTCAAACGTGTGAATAATGAGAAAGCAGCACTTATTAAAAAAAGTGAAGAGGATTACAAGATGAGCCAGGAGAAACTGCAAAGACTGAGAACAGAAGCTAAGAAGGAGGTTGCAGAAAAGAATGAGGAAATAGCAGCATTGCGTTGTTCGCTTACGGATTTCAAAGATAAACTTGATCTGGAAAAGAAATTAAATGAAACTCTAAAGGGGGTTGAAGAAGAAGCCCGCCATTACAAAACAGCATTTGAAGAAATGAAGAATGAAAAAGACAAACTTGTCAGTTGTTTAGAAAAGTCCAATTTGGAACTAATTAATATGAAAAAGGAGGTAAAACATTTCAGTGACGAAAACAAAAAGCTGCTGACAGAGCTGCGTGTGCTACATGAGAAGGCTGAGATGAGTAGACCTGTGGGGTCATGCAAAGAGTTTAAGGAAGAAGATAATGCTGAAAAAGAATCGGGAGAGTTTTGTTCGGAAAGTAATTCCTTTCAAGGAAAGCTGCAAGGTAAAGGCACCTGTTTTCAACTATCAGAGACTGATTACTCTGGGAAGGCTAAACTAAGAGAAGCAACAGAATGTCAAATCCAGAAACAAATGCAAATGATTGAAGAGCCCCTGGCAAAAACTGCAAATGTAAATTATTCTAAACCACAAGAACAAAGAACTATAGTAGAAGAGAAGTCCAGAGAGCACTTTCAAAGGAAATTGCAGGCGGCTTTAATATCACGTAAAGAAGCCCTGAGAGAAAATAAATGTCTAAAAGACCAGATTGATAAGCTGATATTGGAAAGAGAAGAACTGGTGAACAAGACAGGGATGCTCGAGCACTTGTTAGAGCTAGGTGGAGAAAAACAAAGTTCAAGTACTGTTTCTCCTTTGTCTGAAGAGGAGAGCCTTGTTTCTGAAAATGCTAGACTGTTGACTGAAAACGAAAACCTCACTGCGGCATGTGAAAGTCTTAAATCCACCATGGAGACTATAGTTCAGGAAAAAGAGGCCTTTTCTTTCCAACTAAATACTTTAAAAGATTCTCAGACAGTTGAATTAACAGGATGGAAGGCTAAACATAGTGAATTAAAGCAGGAGTATGAATCCCTTCTTCAGGCATATGAGAATATCAGTAGTAAAATAGCAGATATGAGGCAAGTTATTGATCTCAGTAGGAAAGAGAAGCAAGAGGCTATTCAAAGACTCAGGGAAGGAGAATCTGAGAAGGAGGCTCTTGAGAAGCATTTACAAAAACTCATTGATGAAAATGAGGTTATTAAGAATCAAATGAAACAGCTTGGTGAATCCAAGAAACTGGAAGTTGATGAATTACAAAGTAAAGCAGAAAGGCAGATACGTGAGCAAGAGGCAAGGGTGCAAGAACACCAGGATCATCTTCATGAACTCACTGAACAGAATCATCAGCTAATGGAGGAAAATGAGCAGCTGATACAAACTTCTGAAAACTTAAAGCAGGCTTTAGAGAAAATTCAGAATGAAAATGATATCCTTCATAATGACATCACTGTAACTAAAGCAGCTTTGGGAGATCTCCAAGTTCAAATGGAAGTGTACCAAAATGATATGCAATCTAAAATCAATGATGCATTATATGTGAATGAATCATTGTTAAAGGATGTTAATGTGTTAAAGGATAAACTCTCTGAAAAAGAACAAAAAGTGCTTTTCCTAGAACAAGAAAGAAAATTAATTTCAGAAAAAGTGAAGGAAACTGAAAAATCTTTGGACCATAAAAATAATTTTCTAACAAAACTGGACATGGAATGTAAAAGTCTTACACAAGAAATTGTTAATCTAAATGAAAAAGTTAAGATTTTAGAGGATGATAAATGTCTGTTACAGGAAGAATTAGAAAATGTGCAAGAAAGTTCTTACAAAGTAAAGAATGAGAGAGAATTTCTTGAGACAGAATTGCTTAATCATGTTACAAAAGTTGATCATCTTACTGACAGAATGAAATCAGCACAAGTACAGAATAACTTGCTGTTGCAGCAACTGGAAGAATTAAAGGCAGAAAAATGTAATGTGATTAGAGAAAAAGAAGAACAGCAGTTACATCTTGTAAAAATGTTTGAGGAGAAGGTGAAAAGTGCTCAGAGGGATAATAATGGAAGTAAAAACAAAACGAAAGAATTGCAAGAACTTTTAAAGGAGAAACAGCAGGAGATCAACCACTTGCAAAAGGATTCTATAAAGTTCCAGGAGCTGATCCTGGATTTGGAAAGATCTGTGAAACTGTCTCAGTCAAAAAGTGAAAAATTCGAGAAGGACTTAAGTAATACATCAGAAAAGCTTGCAAAGTCAAATGAAGAAATACATCATCTCAAGGGGAAGCTTTCTTCACAGATGAACTTGTTGGATCAGTCAAAGAATGAAGTGGACAGGCTTATAGATGAGAATCTAAATTGGAGAAAAGAACTTAAAAAGAAAGAAGACGAACTACAAATTCAAAAGAAAGAATATGAGAGAGAATTGGAATTTAATCTTCAACAATTAAAATTGGTTCACAAAAAAGAATTTTTGAAACTGGAGGAAAGACATGGTGCTCTTGAGAGAGAAAAAGACAGGGCGATTAGTGAGATTCATGGTTTGCAAGAGCAAGTTAGCATTAAGGACTCTCAAAACAAGAAACTTCAAGCAGATTTGAATGCAGCTTTGGCACGATTAGCTGCTTTTACAAAGTGCATGTCCTCTCTTCAGGATGACCGGGACAGGGTAATCACTGAAATGAAAACCTGGGAAGTGCAGTTCAAAGAGGCCATCCAAAATAAAGAGAAACAGATAGAAGACAGTAATAAAAGAATAATGTCTTTACAAGATGAATTGAAAGACAAAATCACTCAGATTCAAGAACTGAATATCAAATATTCTGTGGTAGAGGAAACAAAGGATGAACTGCATTTGAGGCAAAAATCTGTTGATGTACAACGCTATGAAGAGCTCTGCAGAATAAAGAAAGAAAATACGTTTTTTGTTAAGAGGCAGCAAGAATTGGAGAGTGTTCTTCAGTCCAAAGAAGCAGCTTTGCAAGCGCTCCTTAAAGAAAATAATTCTCTTAATCATCTCATAGAGAATAGTAAAAGTGCGGGAAGAGAGATAAAAGCTCTGGAAAGTAATTTTACAAGACAGGAACAAGAATTGCAACAGCTTCTAGCTGAGAAGGAAAAAATTAATGCTGAATTGCAAAAGCAGATTACCATTTCTGAGCAAATGAAGTTCATGCTAAATAATAAAGACAGAGAAATTTCCTTACTCATTTCTTCAAAAGGTGATGAAATTTCTGACTATCTGACTCAGGTACAGGCTCAACATAGAAAACAAATTGAAGAGTATGAACTTCAGTTAAGGTCTTTGCAGATAGAGAGACAACAATCTTACGAGTCCTGTCAGAGAATGGAAAATGAATTGAGAAATCTGCAGATGAAAGCAGACAAAGTTGGTGAAGATAAGTCTGCAGTTGCCAGTGAAATAGATGCCTTTAAAAAATCAATGTCATCTCTTCAGAGTGATCGGGATGATCTTTTTTCTAAATACAAAGAGCTGGAACGTCTGCACCAAGATGTCTTAAATCAGCGGGACAGTCTTATAGTTGGCAATGCAAGTGAGAATAATGCTTTGAAACAAGAATTAAGGATGCTTCTCAATCAGATAGATGATCTTCACTCTGAAAATGCAATGTTAAGTGCGCAGCTGATTAAGTATAGAGAAGATCTTAACCATGTTTTATCTCTGAAAGACCATCAGCTGAAAGACTTACTTAAGCAGAAATTGGATTGTATTAAAAGCCTTGAACAAGAAAAATACGATCTTCAAAAACAAATAAAAGAAATGCAACTTTCCAATGAATTGCAGAAGGATACTGCTGTATCTTTGGAACATGAAAATAAAAAGTTAGTGTCTAAAGTAAGTGATTTAGAATCTTTAATTGCGTCATTGAACAAAGAAAAACTTGTTTCTGAATCTGGAGAGAAACTACTGATTAGTGATAGTGTTCAGAAAAAACAATGTGTATCAAATGGACAGTATGGAAAAAGTCTTCAGAAGAAGATTCAAGAACTCCAGAAATCAAGAGGCAGAAATACTAAGGATGCAGATGAGGAATACGGTCAGACTCTTTTGACACTTGAACATCGAGATGAACCTGATGTTTTGGCAGAGAAGATGATACTAGAAGTTCAATCTCAAAATAGTGAGCTGAGGTCCCAAAACGAGGCCTTTGGGAAAGCAATGACTGCTCTGCAAAATGATAGAGATAGGATAATAGAGGACTTTAAGGTACTTCAGAGCAAATACACATCTGAACTCAAGACTGAAAAAAAGAAAGGAGATGAACTTGAAGCTGAATTGGATGGCTTTAAATTACATCTTATCAATATGCTCAAAGAAAGTTCTCTTCTGAATCGGGCTATTTTTGATGCTGCAGATAAGGTTACACTTGATCAGATTGCTGATGAAATTGGAAATCTCTGTAGGACATTAGTCAGTCGAGATGTGGAGGTTAGCAGGCTCTCATCTGAGTGTGGGAATTATGTTCACCAGATTGATGCGTTTTCCAAGGCTATGGCCAGTCTTCAGGATGACCGAGACAAATTGCTGCAGGAACTCAGCAATCAGAAGGTAACTTCTGAAAGAATACAGGGCACAGCTTCATTTCCCATTGCTTGCAATAGCATCAATGAGATAAATTCCTTTAAA